GGGAAGTCCTGGTAAAGGGTTTCAAGCAAGAAAATGTCGAAAGGCAGCTCCCACGTGGACGAATGGCAGAAAAGCCAAGGGCAGGGACCAGCTTCAGGGTGAATTTAAACCCAAAGGAAAACATACACGACCTGCAACGGACCTGTAGGTGATGTCTGGATTTACTTGTATCCCGGATGCTGGGACATAAGGTCGAGCCTTTCCCAAGACTCTGAGGACAGAACAAGGGGGACCACGCAGCACAGACTTACAGAAAAGGAGACTGTTAAGTGTGGACTTCACCCCGTGTACTCCAATTCCGGTTCCAGAGGAAAGTGTGGGCGGAGAGAAGCAGGGCTGGGGGTGGGGCGAGTAGGGAGCGCAGATCAGCGCAAAGAGGACTGTACTGTAGGGCTAACCGGGGAAGGTGCTTCCCTGGACCTTGATCTGTTTATTTTAAATTACTATCTGTGACAGTTTTGGGTGCTTTTTAAAAAAATTATTTATTTTTGGCTGCATTGGGTCTTCGTTGCTGCGGGCGGGCTTTCTCTAGTTGCGGGGCGCGGGGGCTACTCTTCCTTGCAGTGCGCGGGCTTCTCATTGTGGTGGCTTCTCTTGTTGCAGAGCATGGGCTCTAGGCGCGTGGGCTTTAGTAGCTGCAGCACGCAGGCTCAGTAGTTGTGGCTCGCGGGCTCTAGAGCACAGGCTCAGTAGTTGTGGCTCATGGGCTTAGTTGCTCAATGGCATGTGGGATCTTCGAAAACCAGGGCTCGAACCCGTGTCCCTGCATTGGCAGGCCGATTCTTAACCACTGGGCCACCAGGGAAGTCCTCTGTGACAGTTTTAAGGTAAAAGCTTAAAATTTTGTGGGCCACTTACGTGGGAAGCTGTTTCTGCGAGATGAAAACGGTTTCAAAAAAGCTGTTTAGCCAGCGGGTTGCTCCCATACCCTGCTAGCGAGGAGAAAGCAGTTCAGAGGCCTGGAAACTTGGGTCTCCAAGTGGTTGCTGTGGGGCAGTGGATTCAGAAATATTTCCTGCACTGGGCGTTTCTCTGTATTACAAACTAGAACAACAAATACAAAACTCTCCCTAAGTAGTAAGTGCTACTTCTTACACCCTAAAGAACAGCTTTTCCATTTTCTCTTCACATTCAAGCAGGAGGCCAAACTCAACACTCTGCTCAGTTCCAGAGACTCAGGGACAAAACCTAGCATCTGAGACTGGAGGACTAAGGCATGCAAAGTTTATCTTCTTATCATAGAAGTAAGCTGGTGAGGACTTCCCTGGTGGCACAGTGGTTAAGCATCCGCCTGCCAATGCAGGGGACACGGGTTCGAGTCCTGGTCCGGGAAGATCCCACATTCCGTGGAGCAACTAAGCCCGTGAGCCACAACTACTGAGCCTGCACTCTAGAGCCTGCAAGCCACAACTACTGAGCCCACGTGCTGCAAATACTGAAGCCTGCGCACCTAGAGCCTATGCTCTGCAACGAGAAGCCACAGCAATGAGAAGCCTGCGCACCGCAACGAAGAGTAGCCCCTGCTCGCCACAACTAGAGAAAGCCTGCGCGCATCAAGATGCAACGGAGCCAATAAATAAGTAAATAAAGGCTCAACTTAAAAAAAAAAAAAGCTGGTGAGACATGAGCTACTCTTTTTTTTTACTTTTTTTGATGTGAACCATTTTTAAGTCTTTACTGAGTTTGTTACAATATTGCTTCTGTTTTATGTTTTGATTTTTTTGCCGCGAGGTATGTGGGATCTTAGCTCCCCAACCAGGGATCAAACCCACACCCCCTGCATTGGAAGGTTAAGTCTTAAAACACTGGACCAGCAGGGAAGTCCCTAAGCTACTCTTTATTGATGTGATTAAGGGTCTTTTGTTTTCTGTTACTTGGGAAAGAGAACCACATGTGACTTGTCATTTGCATTGGGCATGGAGACAGTACACACATGTGGATGAACTGGATATTACGTTAAATCTTTTCCAATGCAGACATACCTGCTGGTAAGTCTTCACGTAATCCTGCAGAGGACCAATTGAGAATGTATCGAATCTAAATGAGTATACAATAACTGACCTGAATTATCCAATAAATAATCTTTCTTTCACATCAACACTGTGGGGAAATACAATTACAAACAAAACCAAAATGTAAGACCAATAAATTTCCTCCACCTAGGTAATATGGAAAGGAAACAGCTTTACTATTGAATAATCATTACTCATGATTACAACACACAACCCGCTTCGTATCCTGATCCAGCCACTTGCTGGGATGGAACTGAATGAGTCTTTAAACCTGTCTTTGTCCTAAATTCCTTCGTTTCTGAAACGAGAATACGTACTTTTTTCAGAGATGAAAATTCAGTAAGTTACTATGCATAATGCATTAATAACAGTGACTTGTATTTGAAGTGTAATATGAAAGACAACAGAAATAAAAATTAAGATCACTTATTAAAGGGGACTTCCCTGGTGGTGCAGTGGTTAAGAATCCATGCTCCCAATGCAGGGGGCCCCGGCTGGATCTCTGGTCAGGTAACTAGATCCCACATGCATGCCGCAACTAAGAGTCCACATGCCACAACTAAGGAGCCCGCCTGCCGCAAATAAGACCCAGCACAACCGACTAAATAAAAATTTTTTTTTTAAAGATCACTTATCAAAGAATCTGTATTATTTTGGTTAGTAACAAAGTCTAAGTGGAGCATAATGGGTATCAGTTGTCATGCTAAAAATAGCACAAATCTTATTTTCTCTGCAAGGAGCTCTGCCTTTGAATGTCAATACATCACTGGGAAATGGCAGAATGGCTTCCAGGCATTTGGCAATGGAGCCTGTCTCCTTGTTACAAACTATAGTTGGACTCTTGGGGCCTATCTCATTAATCCTTTTGGTTTCATTGTGTGCTTCCTAAACTCCACATACTGGATTTTGAAACACCTGACCACAGCCAGCTCCCACATTAAAAGATTTCAGTTTACCCTCGTGACATTCTAAAATGAACTGAAGTCCTAAAGGCTTCCATGGAATTAAAGTCCCAAAGGAACTCTCTTCATATTTACAGTGCCTCTACTTCCTACCTCTCATTGAGTTATGTTCAGTTTCATTTCACAGGAATCCTAAAACAACCCACGGATTTAGAGATCCTTTGGTTTAAAACAAGGGAAATATATGGGGAAAGAAAAAAGTCATGCTAAGAAAAAACTGTATTCAAAAAAAATTTTTTTTCTGGAATTCCCTGGCAGGCCAGAGGTTAGGACTCTGATCTTTCAATGCAGGGACCAGGTGCATGGTGCAGCCCCAAAAATACATATATATCTTACAGTAGAAAACCATGTAAGACCACATTGCTTAATACCACAATTTGAAATTGAGATTTTAGGAGCCTATCAATAATTGCTCTTCTAGTAAATTGCTTATATTATCTGATAAACACTTCCAAACACCCATTTTTATTAATCTAGGATAAAAATACCTTAGGCAATTTATTTAATATTTTATAAGCATTTTCAACAACGATATTGCACAATGAGATGAATGTGTGCTGCAGACAGAAAAATGTAATACATTATTATCATAAAGAGAAGTGTGGTGTTCCTTATCAAGAAATCAGGAGTCTTAAGAGCAAATATTCACTGTTTTGTCAAACAGTTAGACTCCATTTTTCAGTGTTTGATTACTGACCCCTTTTAATCTTCGGGACAACATCTTCCCATTCCTCCTGAGCAAGCTGATAAAAAAAGCCTGAAGGGTCCCTTCTTTGATTTAACCTGGAAGTTCAAACGTCAAGCCTCATCCAGTAATTTCCTTAACACACCAAACCAATCACCATTCCCTGTTCTCTCAAACCATTTTTTGAACACCTTGGAAGTCTCTAACATGTGCCTAGAAAGTTGAATTATGTAACATTCTTATAACATTTCAATGTTAATGTCACCCTCAATAACCAAACCCAACTTGGGGTGGGGTTCTACTATACTCCAGTGAATGACCACAAGTGCAAACTAGCAAAAATAAAAACATTTTTTAAGGGTGAATATATGAAATTTCTCATTTCTCAAACAAAAACATTCCCATTGTATAATACTCATTTTTAAAAGAAAATCCATGAACACTGATCTTTTAAAATTAATACACTGATGGACTTCCCTGGGGGCGCAGTGGTTAAGAATCCGTCTGCCAATGCAGGGGACAGGGGTTTGATCCCAGGTCTGGGAAGATCCCACATGCCACGGAGCAACTAAGCCCATGCGCCACAACTACTAAGCCTGTGCTCTAGAGCCTGCAGGTTGCAACTACTGAAGCCCACGTGCCTAGAGTTTGTGCTCTACAACAAGGGAAGCCACCGCAATGAGAAGCCCATGCATCACAATGAAGAGTAGCCCCTGCTCACCACAACAAGAAGCAGCCTGCGGTCAGCAATGTAGACTGCATGCAGGCAAAAAAAAAAAAAAAAAAAAGCACTGAGCTCAAAAAGGACAAAAACATTGTATGATTTTTAAATTTTCTAATATTTTGCATGTGTTTACTATATTGCTATTTTCTCATCATGTAAATCAAGGTGCATGTCATGACATTTATGTAAAGGACAAATGTGAAATTGCATGATTTTTAAATTTTTAGTGTTTTGCATACACTTACTACATTCCTACTTTCTCTTCATCTAAATCAAGGTGCAGGGGGCTTCCCTCATGGCGCAGTGGTTAAGAATCTGCCTGCCAATGCAGGGGACAGGGGTTCAAGCCCTGGTCCACATGACACAGAGCAACTAAGCCCGAGCACCACAACTACTGCGCTTGTGTTCTAGAGGTCTCGAGCCACAACTACTGAGCCTGCGTGCCACAACTACTGATGCCCAAGTGCCTAGAGCCTGTGCTCTGCCACAAGAGAAGCCACCGCAATGAGAAGCCCACACACGGCAACGAAGAGCAGCCCCTGCTCGCCAATAGAGAAAGCCCGCACAGCAACCAAGACCCAACAGAGCCAATAAGTAAATAAATAAATAAATAAAAATCAAGGTGCACACCATGACATTTAATTAGACACATGAAAGAACAAGAAAAAATACATTCATATACTGCTTATTCAAGAATGGAGGCAGGTATTAAGGAGCGTTAAAAAAAAATAAAACGGTCCCAAGGTGGAGAACAGCTGTAACATTCTGTTCAGTATGGACTGTCTTATGATTAGTGAGATGTGAGCCCCGAGTAAAGTTTTCTCTCCCATTCATAACATTTGTGAGGTAATCTCCAGAATGAATTCTTCGGTGAATAAATTCCTCGTTTAAAAGACAGGACACAATAATTACATTTATCTGGTTTCTATCCATAATGAATTTTCTAATAAAGCCTAAGATGGGGACACCTGCTAAAAGCCTTGTCACATCAAAACATTATTAAAATCTCTCTCCAATATAGATTACCTGATGGTATTAACTTAGGCTTGAAAGCACACTGAAGAATTTGCCATGCTCATTATACCTGTAAGACTGCTCACTAGTATGTAATCTCCAATGACTTGATAGGCTTGAACTTTGACTAAAGGCTTTGCCACACTCATTACATTTGTAAGGTTTCTCTCCAGTATGAATTCGTTGGTGCCTTCTAAGGGCTGGCTTCTCATGAAAGGCTCTGCCACAGTCATTACACTTGTAAGGTTTCTCTCCAGTATGAATTCGTTGGTGCCTTCTAAGGGCTGGCTTCTCACGAAAGGCTCTGCCACACTCATTACATTTGTAAGGTTTCTCTCCAGTATGAATGCGTTGATGCCTTCTAAGAGCTGGCTTCTCACGAAAGACTTTGCCACAGCTGTTACATTTGTAAGGTTTTTCTTCAGTATGAATTCTCTGATGAGCTGCAAGGTTTCCTTTCATACTAAAAGCCTTGCCACACTCATTACATTTGTAAGGTTTCTCTCCAGTATGAACTTGTTGATGCCTTCTAAGGGTTTGCTTCTCACGAAAGAACTTGCCACACTCATTACATTTGTGAGGTTTCTCTCCAGTATGAATTCTCTGATGATTCACAAGGACTGATTTTTGATTAAAGACTTTGCCACATACATCACATTTATATGGTTTTGCTCCTGTATGGATTATCTCATGTTTCCTGAGGCCTGTTTTAAAAAAAAAGGTTTTCCCACACAAATTACATTTGTAAGGTTTCTCTCCAGTATGAATTCTCCGGTGACATTTAAGGTATGAATTTTGACCATAGACTTTGCCACATACATCACATTTATATGCTTTTGCTCCTGGATGGATTAGCTCATGTTTCCTGAGGTCTGTGCCACAAAGAAAGGTTTTCCCACAAAAACTACATTTGTAAGTTTTCTCTCCAGTATGAATTCCCTGATGACGTTGAAAGGATAGATTCTGACGATAGACTTTGCCACATAGATCACATTTATATAATTTCTCTTGAATGTGTGTTATCTGATGTCTTTTGAGGTATGAGCCGATAGGAAAGGTTCTGCCACACTCATTGCATTTGTAAGGCTTCTCTCCAGTATGAATTCTCTGGTGAACTGCAAGACTTGCTTTCTTATCAAAGACCTTTCCACACTCATTACACTTGTAAGGTTTCTCTCCAGTATGAACTCTTTGATGAATTACAAGGTATGAATTTCGGCAAAAGACCTTGTCACATACATCACATTTATGCAATTTCTTTCCTATATGGATTCTCTGATGACTCCTGAGATTTGAGACCTGATGAAAGGTTTTGCCACACTTATTACACTTGTAGGGTACTTCCCTGTGTGGGCTCTGGTCTTGTGTCAGTATTGAAGGATGCATAAAATCACTCCCATATCTGTTAGAAATGTTGGTTTGGACAGGAGGCGAAATTCCTTGAAGTGGTGAAAATGAGGAACTACTGCTGATACTCTTAACAGCTTTATTAAATTCATCAATTTTCTGTTTACTTTTAAACATATGCAGTTCACCCTGAAGGCTTAACACAAGTCTATTTCCAATAGGCTTGTTTTTTGCATCCCTTCCACCATGTGGACTTCTACCAGTGACATCTTGGTGACAGGATATGGGGATATTTTTGTAACTTCTTCCATCATCTCTCCACTGAAAACCATGGTCATACGTATTTTCCTGAATTTCCGGGAGGTAAAAATGTTTGATTCCCTGGCTTTCATGTCTTTCCAACATCAATGTTTGGAATACTCCACCTTTATCGGTGTTTGACTTTAGTTGTAATTTCTTGATCACATGTATATGAGAGATATCTACAAGACATAAAGAAACATACATGACCTACTCATTACAATGCATGAGTAAATGTTTCATGTTAAATACATGATATTATACCAAAAGTAATACTTATAAACAATCAGTTATGAAACTGCGCAACCATTATGTTCAAATGTTTAGAAACACTAAATAGGATTACTTACTAAAGAAAGTGATAACACGTAATTCAAATTAAGTTTAGGGTAGCCTAGGGGATTGGGATTGACATATTACGTATAAAATATATAAGTAATAAGAACCTGCTGTATAGGAAAAAAAAGTTTAGGGTAGCCTAATTTGAAACACGCTATGACAAAACATTCAAATTGTAAAAACTTATATGAGCTCTCAAAATAAGTGTTTTTCCACCATGATCACAAAGGACATAGCAATTAACATTAAACACACAAATACCAGGAGTTTAGAGAAAAAACTTCCGGGGAGATGCAAGAAGAAGTGACCCATGGAACTAAAAACATTATTCACTCACCCCTACTTGAAATAGTTTCTGAGTCATCATAACTGCACATCATGATTTAGGTTGTGTCCTGAGAAAGCTGTTCAATGGATGAACGGGGATCATTTTTACAGTGTGAGTAATGAGGCCACTGAAAATACTGAAGTTAAAAGAAAAGAACTGGCCTAGTAAGTAACATGATACTGCTCCATTTTTAACAGTGGGAATTATAGTATAGGTATGGAACAGACACCGAAGACATTTAAAAACAGAGAAAATGAAGTATTATAGAAACAAAGCAGGTTTACATCTATCACATTGTTTCCTATGTAAGGCATAAACTGAATATTCCATAAGTCCCATTTCCATGCATATATTCACAAAGAGCACACATAATATTCCGTAAGATGTACAAGAATGTTCTTAGCTGAAACTTGAAGGAAAAGCCAGAAGAAGGCCATCAAAAACAGATGAATGAGTTTATGCTATACACAAACATACAGATATAAAGAAATCGAAAACTATAAAAGTTCCTCAACATATTTTAAAAAGAACAAAACTATCATATAATGCAGCAATTACAGTGTTGGCAATATATCGAAAAAAATGAAATCACTGTCTTAGAAGATACCTGCACTCCCACATTTATCAGAGCAGTAATCACAATAGCCCAGGCATCAAAACAACCTAAGTGTCCAACAGATGAATGGGGAAAAACACTGTGAGATATACAGAATGTAATATCATTTATCCATAAAGAAGAAAAAATTCCTACTAGTTTTAACAATACAGATGGACAACAAGGGTATAGACTCAGTAAAATAATCCACAGAGAAAGAATAATACTCAATAATCTCATTTATGTGTAAAACATATATATATATATATATATATATAAAAAAAAGGGCCAAACTAAGAGCCACATAGAGTAGCATAGTGATTACCAAAGTTTAGGGGTTAGTAGAATGGGAAGATATTTGTCAAAGGAGTAAATTTACCGTTTTCAGTTGAAAGATTTCTACATATTTAATGTACAGCATGGTAATTATAATTATCAATACTATACTATATGCCTAAAAGTTGATAAGATGGTAGACCTTAAATGTTCTCACCACACATAAAAAACTGTAATTATGTCACAGATGAATGTATTAAATGACCTATCAAGGTAATTATTTTGCAATACAACTGGATCAAATCATTACCCAGTATACCTTAAACTGATAAAATGATATATATTAATTAAATTTCAATAAATCGGGAAAGAGAAAATACAAATAAGTAGACAAAAAAGGTCGTGGTTTACCAAGTAAATAAATTTCAAGAAACTTAAAAAATAAATGATTTAGAAGTAGAAAATATGCCAAAACTAGCAGATGCAAAAAGCATTAGATTACAAATCAATGAAACAGAGAATAAAAACTACATAAAATCGCAAGCTCACAACTTGGTTCTTACCTACATCTAGAATAACTACCAAAAAGAGTAAAGACTCAAATTACTGAAATCAGAAATGAAAGAGAAGACATTACAACTGATTCGACAACAATCAAGAAAATTAGAACAAAATATTAAGACAATTCTATTCCTAAGTATTGGATAAACTAGAAGAAGTAAATAAATTCTTAGAAAAACAACCTATCAACACTAACCAAAGAAGAAATTAAAATCTGTATGAACCAGTAACTAGAAAAAAGATGGAATCACTAATCAAAAACCATTCAACAAGAAAGGCCAGATACATTCACTGCAGAATTCTAGACAACATTTCCAAACAATTAAGAATACTCTTCCTAAACTCTGCCCCCAAAGAAACACAGAGAAAGGAAGAGTTGCAAACTCTATGACACGAGAATTACTCTAATACTAGTGCCAGACAGACATTAAAAAAAAACACAGACTAAAATCTCTATAATGAATCATGCAAAAAGCATCAATACAACAATGGTAAGCTAAACTTAACACCAAATTAAAAGGATTATATACCATAAAAAAAGAGAATACATTCTTGAAATATCAGGATGCTTCAACATATGAAAACATTCAGTGTAAAACAATATATTAAGAGAATGAAAAAAGGACTTCTCTGGCGGCAGAGTGGTTAACATTCCGCCTGCCAATGCAGGGGACACGGGTTTGATCCCTGGTCCAGGAAGATCCCATGTGCCATGGAGCAACTAAGCCTGTGCACCACAACTACGGAGTCTGTGCTCTAGAGCTCACGAGCCACAACTACTGAGCCCGAGTGCCACAACTACTGAACCTCACATGCCTAGAGCCCGTGATCCGCAACAAGAGAAGCCACCGCAATGAGAAGCCCATGCACCGCAATGAGAAGTAGCCCCCGCCTACCGCAACTAGAGAAAGCCCCCACACACCAATTAAGACCCACACAGTCAAAAATAAGTAAATAAAATAAATAAATGTATACAAAAAAGAGAATATTAAAAAAACCCTACATGATGGTCTCAATCGATGCTGGCAAAGCATCTGAAAAAAGTCAACAGCCTTTCATGATAAAAATACTCAGTAAACCAAAAAAGTTTTAAAAAGCTACCTCAACACAATAAAGGACATGTATTGACAGCACACAGCTAACATTATGCTCAATGGTGAAAGAATGAAAGCATTCCCTCTAAGATCAGATATAGGACAAGGATACTTGCTCGTACTTCTAAAAACTTATTCCTGGAAATCCTAGTAGGAAGAAGAACAAGTAGGGAAAAAAAGAGATGAAAAGTATCCAAATATAAAAAGGAAACAAAATTATCTGTTTAAAACCAATATGATCTAATTTGTAGAAATCCTGAAGATTCTGGAAAAAAACAAAAAACCCTGCTAGAAGTAATAAATTACCAGACATTTAATCAACATGCAAAAATCAATGTATTTCTATACAACAAAAATTCCACCATGAGGGGGCTCTTCCCCAATCAAACACTCACGTGGAAAATAGAAAACAAAAACACTAATAGTAACATCAAATACATAGACCTGATGATAAAATTAATAAAATCAAGACCACTTGTTACCCATAGAAATGTACAAAATGAAAGCAGCAGTGCTGTAAACAAAAAAAATGATAGCTCACCATTGATAAAGTATCACTCCACAAACTGTCTCATTAAGACGCTTCAAAATTAGCTGTGACGGTATCATGAACAATGGCACGCAAGACAACAAAAAATATGGCATGACGGCTGAGTCAACAGCCTAACACGAGAATGTGAACTTGGACAACGTTATCCCTAGGAGAAATTCCTATACCATTTCTTGAGGCTCAAACGATGGTAATTATTACATGTGAACAACACTGTCACAGTGCCTTTGAGACATGTTTTGGTGATATTCCTCAAAACCAGAAAAAGAACTGCAAAGACTTATCAGGGTCTTACAACATATGAGGAAAAGTATTCTCCATCAAAAATTTTCTGTTACACAGCAAACCCATTCCACAGTATACACCAGAAGTTGTCCATTAACTACAGGTACATTATCAAGGCAAGAAACAAGATAAAATTTCAGTCCCTAGAAGCATGTCTTTCAAAAGCAACTTTCAAAGGCAAAATCATGCAAACTTAGGAGAATATTAAATCAGAAAGAATATATACTTCCTAAGTACAGCAATAAGAAATGAAAAAAATATAAGATACGGGGTTCAGATATTATGGGTCCTTGACATGGAATCATGAGCTCAACCCATAGATTCCAAGATAAAGCCAGAAAGATTCATATGTTCTCCCCATGTAGGATTGGGGATTAAAACGAGGATCTCTCTGTCCACCGTCTTTAGAGTTTCCGTAAGTTACAATAACAGAAGATCTAATGCACCTCCCTATTACACACATCCCTGATGGGTGTGGCAAAGTCAGAACAGAAGAAATGGCCGACAGATCTAAACAAGCAGACAGGGCTTGAGAAAGCTCCATGCAGGTTCTGAGGTGCCAGATGGAATGAAACAGCAAGCAGTGTTTTCTCATCTTATAATTAGATCTTCTAAAAAATATCAGATGGGGGTGTAATCCAGAAAGGCCCAGGGACTGGAGTCTGGAGGCATCAGCTCTGATCTATATGGACTGAAAACTGAGCATTCAAGAGAATCAAGTCCAAAAGAAGAGATGAGAGAGCAAGAGACCCCTTTATTTTAAAAGTTTCCAGTTGGGTGTTTTAAATACTTAAGCACTGGAAAAAACTCCTGGTGTATCATGAAGCGGGCAGACCATCTAAAGAAATGGCACCTTTAAACTCCTGTGGTCTGAGACATCAAGGCATTGAGTTCAGTTAAGCAAGGCATGGGATTCCAAAAGGCAAATAAGGGTAAATGCAAAGATACCCTCCCAACATTTGGAGGGAAGTTATCCTCACCCACAAAGATCAGGTTTCTGTAGGTCTCCAACATCACGTCCCTGTACAAGGCCCTCTGAGCAGGGTCCAGGCATTCCCACTCCTCCTGAGAGAATTCGATGACCACATCATTCAGTGTCAACTGACCCTGAAAGAAAAACACATTTCACCAAGTGTGAAAGAGTTTATTTGTGTATTCCACTAATAAAACACTGATTCAGGGGCTTCCCTGGTGGTGCAGTGGTTAAGAATCCGCCTGTCAGTGCAAGGGACACGGGTTCGAGCCCTGGTCTGGGAAGACCCCACATGCCGCGGAGCAACTAGCCCAGTGCACCACAACTACTGAGCCTGTGCTCTAGAGCCCGCGAGCCACAACTACTGAAGCCCGCATTCCTAGAGCCCGTGCTCCACACCAAGAGAAGCCACCATGATGAGAAGCCCACGCGCAGCAACGAAGAGTAGCTCCCGCTCGCCGCGACTAGAGAAAGCCCACGCGCAGCAACGAAGACCCAATGCAGCCAAAAATAAATAAATAAAATAAATAAATTTATATATATAAAAAAATACAGATTCAAAATTAGAAAAGTTATTACTATTATACATTAATTTAACAGATTCAGAAAAAAATATCACAATAGTAAAGTTAAAAACTTACTGGAAAATTAAAAACCATTAAAAAAAAAAAGGAAAAAATATTGCAATTAAGTAAGAACATTTCACCAAACATGATGATCAGAAGGAAACAGTCGGAGAGAAGTTAACGCTCTTACACTGTTGATGGGAATATAAATTGATGCAGCCATTATGGAAACCAGTGTGGATGTTCCTCAATAAATTAAAAATGGAGCTGCCATATGTTCCAGCAATTCCACTCCTGGGCATATATCCAGACAAAACTATAATTCAAAAGATACATGATCCCCTATGTACATATGATCATTATTTACAAAATTCAAGACATGGAAACAACCTAAATGTCTACTGACAAATGAATGGATAAAGAAAATGTGGTGTATACACACACACACACACACACACACACACACACAATGGGATATTACTCAGCCATAAAAAAAAATGAACGAATGTCATTTGCAGCAACATGGATGGATCTAGAGATTATCATACTAAGTGAAGTAAGTAAAAAGACAAATACCGGGGCTTCCCTGGTGGCGCAGTGGTTGAGAGTCCGCCTGCCGATGCAGGGGACACGGGTTCGTGCTCCGGTCCAGGAAGATCCCACATGCCACAGAGCAGCTGGGCCCGTGAGCCATGGCCGCTGAGCCTGCGCGTCTGGAGCCTGTGCACCACAATGGGAGAGGCCACAACAGTGGGAGGCCCATGTACAGCAAAAAAAAAAAAAAAGGACAAATACCATGTTATCACTTATATGTGGAATCTAAAATATGACACAAATGAACATATTTACGAAACAGAAATAGACTCACAGAGAACAGACTTGTGGTTGCAGGATTGTGGTGGGGGGAGGATTGCAAGTTTGGGATCAGCAGATGCAAACTAGCATATATAGGATGGAGAAACTACAAGGTCCTACTGTAGAGCACAGGGAACTAAATTCAATATCCTGTGATAAAACATAATGGAAAAGAATATAAAAAAGAATATATATGTATAACTGAGTCACTTTGCTATACAGCAGAAATTAACACAACATTGTAAATCAACTATATGTCAATAAAATTAAAAAAAAAAAAAAAGAGGGAAATACTCAATGCATTCCCACTGACATTACAGTGGAGTGAAGGGGGCTGGCCAGGGCTCCTGACTTTCACCACTGTACGGTGTGGCTGAGCAGGGACCACTAGAAGAAGTAACAGGAGGAAAACAGAGAGCTAGAGCAAGACACAGAAACAGCATGTCAGAGAGTAAAAACTGTTAACATTCACAAATCTAAGGACACAGAAAAGCTAAAAGGGAAAGGATGGAAAAAGATATTACGTCCCAAAGATAGCAGGGATGACTGCATAATATCAGACAAAATGAATTAAAGAGAAAAACTGACATAAGACAGAAAGGACATTATATTATCACAAAAAGGGGTAACTCTCCAAGATATAACAATTATAAATATTTAAACACCTAACAGAGTTCCCCTCAATACCCCAGTGTTAAGTACCAATGGAAGCAAAGAGAAGACCAAAAGGAAACAGAGCACCTGAACAACACTATAGACTCACAAGACCACAGAGATCACCCCATCCAACAAAAGCAGAAAACACATGCTTCTCAAGCACACATGAAACGTTCTCCATCACAGACTACATGTTAGGCCACAAAGCAAATCTTAGCAAATTCAAGAAGACCCAGATCATAAAAAGTATTTCTCCAAACATAATGAAACCAAACTTCAAAAAGCCAGCAGAAGGAAAACAGAAAAATTTCAAAAACGTAGAAATTAAACAATTCATTTTTAAACCAATACTTGAAAGAAGACAAGGAAACTTTTAAAATATCTAAATGAAAGTGACAACACACATACTAAAAATTACAGTCAAGCAGTACAAAAAGAGAAGTCTACACTGCTAAACATCTACAACAAAGAAGAGAAGAGAACACAAATCAGGAATATATTCACTACAAGGAAGGAGAAAAAGAAAAAACTAAACAAAAATTACTAGAAAGAAACAGAGAAGAATGATTAGACAAGAGATAAATGAAACAGAATGTAGGAAAACAAAATAAAAATCAACCAACCAAGAGTTGGTGTTTTAAAACTAGGCAGGAAACAGATTGCAACTGATGTCACAGAAACATTTTTTAAAGGAAGATAAGGGAGAACTATGAACAATAATGCCTACAAATTACATAATCTAGAAGATACAGGTAAATTCTTACAAATGTCAAACCTAACCAGGCCTAATCATTACAAAATAAAAACTTTGAATAGAATTATAACTGGGAGATTCAAGCAATAATCAAAAATCTCAAACAAGGAAAAACCCAGGACAAGATAGCCTCACTACTGAATTGTACCAAACATGTACAGAAGAATTACCTCTAATCCTGCTAAAATCTTCTTGAATAGTCTCAGAGGGAACACTAGCAAATTCCTTCTATGGAGCCTGCTTAACTCTGATACCAAAGCCAGAAAAAGACACAAGAAAAGAAAACTACAAAACCAGTATCACCCGCACATACGGATGCAAAATCCTTAACAAAATACTACAAAATCAAATTCAACCGCACATGAAAATGTATTCAAATCAACACCAAGTACATTTTATTCCTATAATGCAAGGCTGACTCAACATAGAAAAATCAAGTAATGTGATATAACACGTTGACAGAATAAAGGAAAAAACCACATATGATCATCTCAATTGATGCAGAAATAACCCACTTAACAAAATGCAGCAACCTTTCAAGATATAAACCCTCAACAAACCAGAAACAGTAAACTATCTCGACATAATAAACACCAAATATGAAAAGAACACAGCTAACATTATACTCTACAGTCAAAGACTAAAAGGTTTTCCTCTCACATCAAGAGGAAGGCAAGCATGCACACTCTCTGCTATGCACACTCACTACTATTCAACGAAGTACTGAAAATCCTACCAAAGCCATTAAATGGAAAAAGAAATCAAAGATAACTAAAAAAGAATTATCTTTTTTTGTGGGCGACAAGTTTTATACGGACAAACCACAAAGATACTACAAGAAAACAACTATGTCGGGACTTCCCTGATGGCGCAGTGGTTAAGAATCCGCCTGCCAATGCAGGGGACACGGGTTTGAGCCCTGGTCCGGGAAGATCCCACACACCCTGGAGCAACTAAGCCCATGTGCCACAACTACTGAGCCTGTGCTCTAGACCCTGCGAGCCACAACTACTGAGCCCGTGTGCCACACTACTGAAGCCTGCGCACTCTAGAGCCCACGCTCCGTAACAAGAGAAGCCATCGCAGTGAGAAGCCCAAGCACCGCAAGGAGGAGTAGCCCCTGCTCGCTGCAACTAGAGAAAGCCCGCGCAAAGCAACGAGGACCCAACACAGCCAAAAGTAAATAAATAAATTAATTAAAAACAAAACAAAAAAAAAACCCCAACTATGTAAAAAAAAATTTTTAGAAAAGTTGGATAAAAAAATTAACATGCGGCTTCCCTGGTGGCGCAGTGGTTGAGAGTCTGCCTGCCGATGCAGGGGACACGGGTTCGTGCCCCGGTCCGGGAAGATCCCACATGCCGCGGAGCGGCTGGGCCCGTGAGCCATGGCCGCTGAGCCTGCGCGTCCGGAGCCTGTGCTCCGCGACGGGAGAGGCCACAAAAGTGAAAGGTCCGCATACCGCAAAAAAAAAAAAAAATTAACATGCAAAAATCAGACAAATTTCTATATGGAATGAAAAATGTCAAAAAAAGTTAAGAAAACAATCCCATTAACTACAGCATTAAAAAGTACAGAATACTTAGGAATAAATTAGCCAAGGAGGTAAAACACTTGTATACTGAAAACTACAAAACTTGTTGAAAGTAATCCAAGGAGATACACACAAATAGAAAGATATCCTGTATGCATGCACTGGAAGACTTAATACTCTTAAAATGACCACAGTCCCAAAGTGTTCTATAGATACAAAAGAATCCCTGTCAAAATTCCAATGGCAATATTTGCAGCGACAGAAAAAAACATGGTACAAAAAAACATGCTTTGCAGTAATACAAAAAAACATGGTAAAAAAACATGCTAAGAGAATCTCAAAGGACCCAAAATGGCCAAAATACTCTTGAAACAGGAGGGAGATGGAGAAGGCCCGTTTTGAATATCAAAACATTACATACAAATTAATCAAGATGGTGTGGTACTGGCATGAACACAGATACATAAAGCCAAGGAACAGAACAGAATGCTCACAAATAATCCTTGGCATGTGTGTAAAATGTACTCACAAGGGTGGTAAGACTACATAATGGAAAAAGGACAGTCTCAGTGACAAATGCTGCTGGGAAACTGGGTATCTACCAGCAAAAGAAGAAAGTAGGAACCTTACTTGCATAAAACAGAAAAACCTCTCTGTCATGAAAAAGGCAATCAACAGAGTGTAAAGACAACCCCTGAGAAACGGAGGGGGAGAAAGTGACTTGAAGAATGCAGAGAATTTTGTTGATTTCATAGTTTAAAATCGATGATGGAATAAAACACCCTCTATCACTGATGTCTCTTTCTGAACTTACCATTCCATTTTGCAATCATTCAGATTTTGAAGTCAGTGACTCACTCATTTAGCTTCTAGTGTATTATAAAAAAAATCAGAACAAATTTCTTGTTATTGTTCAGTTTTCCAGAATTTACCAAGTATCGTGCATATTCAGATGATTCCATCAACAGGATGGGTCATGGAATTTACAGAGAGCGGACAGTACACTCAGATGAAGCCCTTTAACAATACCTGCTGCCCAATAGCACTGAGACCCCATCCACAATCCATAGGTGTGAAGCCCTGCCTAAGACAATGTCCACTGGAACCTCAGGGAGATGAAATCTAAGTGGACATGACAGGGACTGAGGGAAGGCACTAGATAAGGGTGAATGTACACGTGTCAGGAAGGATACCTCAGAGTGAGACAAGATTAGCAAGTCCAGTTGAGGGCACTTCAGAAAGGAAAGACTGAAGAATCAACTGAGAATATGACTTTACCTCAGAAACAGCCATTCCTGACTCCTTTTCTTTTCCTTCTCTTAACGGCTTCTTTGTTAGACAACAAGACTCTTTAGAGGTCTACCTGAGAGTTGAAAACATGCTGTTTAATGCTTAGAATCAACACACCCCCTTCCTGAGTCACCACCACACACACAGGGAAGCCCTCAGCATGTGGAACAGACGGTCCTCTGCTGCCCACTGTCCCAAGAGGGACTCAGGACAGTAAACTCCCACATAGAGTCTAACAGGTGAGTTTTCCCACCCTTTCTTCAGATCAGGCTCCCCTCCTGGTGAGGCCCTCACGTACCCAGCAGCAGTGGGCACCTCAGCTGGACCCGACGATCCCCTGCAGGTCACAGACCAGCCCTGATCCATCCCCACGCAGAGCAGAGCCCTCACCCTCAGCCCAGATCTCAGCCCTCGAAACGGGGGGACTCAGAGTCCTGATGTTCAATGACGGATCCAGATTGGAACATCCTGGGGAACCTTAAGTATTATTCATGTTGGGCCCCATCCCAGCTCCTTTAAAACGCGTCTCTGGTCAGGGGGTATAAAACATATGAAGATGCCTTACTCAAATCAATGTGAAGCCTGGGCTGAGCACCACCTAGAGGAGGTGAGCCCAGCACACCTCCCACGTTCTTTTTTACCCAAGCTCTATTAATGTACAGTTGATGAATAAACATGGTGTACATATAAGATATACAATGTGATTATCTGGCAGATACATACACTGTGTAATAATTATCACAAAAATTACATGTGAGGACACCCAAGGACCCACTAAACCTAAGATGCCATATTTTCATCTACAATTCCAGCCCAAACACTGTCATCTCCAAAACCTACTAATTAAAAAAGAGACACATGCAGTAAGGCACATGCCACAGTCAGACCACAACCTCTCCCAATGAAATGGCCCAAATTCTCCACTGTATCTTTCAAAGTGCATCTGAAATGGTCTTCACTTACACAATAAAATGCTCAAAAATACCAAAGGTAACCCACAAAATGATCTCTAAAATTCTCTGTGTATCACTTTAAGGGTTGCACGATGATTCTCCCACTCTCAAAAGACCCAACGTGAGTCAAGGCATAGAGTGGATTCTGTGGGGCACCCTATAGCTCCATTCCCTCAGGACCATGGTGTCCATCCACCTGTACCCAGAGCGTGCTGTTTGCACAGCTCAGGTCATATCTCTAAGAGCACAGGAGGAAAACGTTTGTCTTTCTAAATCCACTGCCTTCATTCCTACTCAGGTGTGACCATGAGTTATTCAATGCAACCAATGCATGCAATCCTCAGTCTCAGCATCTATGTCCCATGGAACCTGAGCTAGGACTTTATGGCAATTCAGTTCATGTAATGAAGCCCACAACTACACATACCACCTCAAGGTGCTCCAACCACAATTAAGACATCCCTTTCAAATAGTTCTCCAGATGCCTTGACCCCGCAAGGGACAGGTGCCCACACCATTCACTTGGCTCACCTTGAAGCCCACACTGGCTGCCACATCCCTCCTGAAGACCCCTACAGGCTCCCCTCCAACTTCCCAACTGTTCTGCCTCTCCTCCATGCACTCATGGGCAAACAGGGCTAAAAGGCACAAGGACCTCTCAGCAAAGCCATCGCAACAGGAATACACACAAGCTGCCACCCAAAGGACACTGACCATTCATTATGAAGGTCAAGAAGTCGGCCATCCTGGGAAACTGACTAACAATTGGGAACGTCATCAAGTCCAGTTACAAAGGGATTTGAGTTCATTTACGGAGACTCAAAGCAGACAGTTCCCAAGTTTCTTGACTCCTGTTCTACCCACTCACAGGTAATTAAAAGATACCCTAGCTCTTTGAGGGAGGCCTCCTTCATGCCCCATTAGGCTCCAGACTTCTGCCCACCCTTAGCACAGTGAAACCACTATCCTGGACTCTGAGCAGATGACCTGCCGGAAGGCAAGGCTCCTGTCCAAGGTGGCGACTGGTCACCTGATGTGCACAGCCTGGAACACCTGGGGGCTACAGCAGAGCACTGACACAGCACACTAAACATGGGAACACGTCACCCACTGCTTGAGGACACCAGCTGTACAGGACTTTTTAGGCCTCCCTACATCTTTTTGCTCTTGAGTAAACAGACACATAAGGTAAGCATCAATTAGAGTGGAAATGTCCAAAACAAGTGTGAGAACCATCCTCATTACCTGCCCTGGCACCTTGATATTTCCTGAGGTGTACTCAGCCCAGTCAACAATCCTAGCCTTGAAAACATCCCCAGAGTGAGGGGTTGCAGTGACCCTGGGAAGATGATGAACACTGTGTCCTTCAATGGAGGTTAAGCACGAAAGACTAAAAATAATCAATACACAAGTACATTTCTGTTGAGGGTGACTGATACAGAGGCAGTAAACCCTGGGTAATTTCACAGAGGTTGTCGGAGGAAGGGGAAGGGGACATATCTCTGAAGTAACATGTGGAGGACAAAGGGCCTGAGCCATGGTGACTTAAAGGCCAATGGTAAGAACAGGAACTAAGATCTGAGACAGAACACGTGTTGGGGTTTGGGGACAGAAAAAAGGTGAATGTGTGCGGGGCAGAGTGAACCATGAGGAAACGGTCACTTCCCAAGATGAGGCTGGAGACACTGGCAGGGCCCTGAGCATGATACAGGGCTGTGTAGACACAGTGAGGAGACTGGACTTTGTCATAAAGACAAGTAACAGCCAGTGGAGATATGAGTGCCAGGACTGACTAAACTCTCTTCAAATTTAAATCTTCTGCAGAGAAATACATCTCACTATGGTCACTTTAACTCTGAGCCTATGTTCTTGTCTCCTTTCTAGGGTTTGTTTTACTTTTACATTCTGGGATGACTGTGACCCATTTAAATTTCTAAATACGACTAGACGCTCTCTTCAAAAATAATTGCCACACACAGCGGGTGGGGGTGGGAGGTGGGGAGGGATGATGGGAGAGTCAGATTGACATATACACACTACGATGTATAAAATATATAACTGGGCTTCCCTGGTGGCGCAGTGGTTGAGAGTCCACCTGCCGATGCAGGGGACACAGGTTCGTGCCCCAGTCTGGGAAGATCCCACATGCCGCAGAGCGGCTGGGCCCGTGAGCCATGGCCGCTGAGCCTGCGCGTCCGGAGCCTGTGCTCCGCAAC